GTCACAGCCAAGTATAGATTGTATTTTTGGTTGCATACTGGGGATTTCCCCTCTAAATGTTATTTGAGCTACTGTTTGAGAAGAGGTATCTCCGAACTGGAAATGAATGGGGAAATCATCCTGTTGAGAAGCCATATACTGTCCTGCAGTGGGCAGGCTTGTTTTAATCAGGAAAGGACTATAATGAAGGAGAGTACCTATGATGGTGATAGGTGCTAGGAATGTCCTAAGAACAGTATTGTACATATATCAAAATATTATTGAGTACAGGTAATTGTATCCTCTAATAGAAAAAGCACTTTATCCATATGCGTGCAATTGGCATGGTGGGCCCCCTGGGTATTTGTGCTTCAATGCCCACCCAGGGGGGCCCATCATGCTGATTGCATGCATATGGATAAGGTGTTTTTCTGCTTTTCTATATGTTTAGTGACCACTGCTGAGGAAGTGGAAAAAAGAAACGCGTTGACTCATGAGGACTCAAAACCACATCTTATGTATCTTTATACAATATATTATTTTTGGTTATTTATTATAGTGGTCTTCTTTGTTAGCGAATAAACTGTCCCTTATGCATTGGTTTCGCATTTGGATTTTATATGACTTACAGTCCTATGTATTTTAATGTTTTGTAATAAAGCATTTGTATTTTATAAGATTGTGTATTCCCCTTCAATGCCAGTAAAGTCCACTTTTTTATATTTTTATGTTATTTTGGAAGTAGCAAATGAGCAGTATTCTTTTTTAGGAGTTAGTGACTAGTTTAGCACTGAAAGCATGTCTGAACAGGTGTGAGACTGGGTGTCATCCCACGAAAGGGAATCAGCCTGGACAGGCAGTGCTACTCTCTCCCCAGGAAAGTCATGCTACAGGAAGCCACATATGAGCATGGATAGAAATGCAAGATATCTTTGTCCATGCATGACAGTCAGGTGCTCTGACCAGACCAATGTCTGATGAGAAGCAAGTGGGTCACTGTCATGCACAGTGAGAGACATGAGAGATGGTGTTTGAACAGGCAGGGAGGCTGTACAGCCTCAGCTGGGCAACTCAGTAGCCAGGAGCCATTCTGTGGGTCTGAGTGGATGAAAATTATCCAGGAGGCTGAAAAGCATTGCATTGTGTTGTTCTCTATGTGATGTTAAGAACCCCGGTGAGGGGAACTTTTCTAGGGGGAGTAAATATTCTGACAGGCCATCTAAAAACTGCTTTTTGTTTACCTTTTTTTTACATTTATGTGCATGATCAAATGTGCATTGTGTAGTGCTTCTGCTGTTATTAGCAGTGGAGAGCATCTGCAAAAGGCACAGAGCTGCTCAAAAAGGCTTTGTGCATTATGGTTGCTGTGATGGCCAAAAACAGTGATCACAAATGTAAGCGGTAAAGTAGTTTATCCGGTTTCAACGCCGCCCTATAGCAGAAATACTGCTACAGGGTGGCACGGGTGCGCAAAATCACGTGTATATATACGTGATTTTGCAGTTCCAGGTAGGAGGTGCGCATGCCCTACCTGTGCTGCCATTCATGGTCTTGGCTGTCAATCACTGGGTCCCGGCCGGTGATTGCCGAGTATCTCTGACAGGGGGAGAGACCTGTATATAATCAACACAGATCTCTCCCCTGTCAGGTCCTGCACACTGCTTTGTATGGTTCTGCATAGGAGAACCATACAAAGCAGTGTGCTTACAGTGTAGCAAACACACAACCAACATAATGAAACAGCACACAGTTAACCCTTTGATCGCCCCAGATGTTAACCCCTTGCTGCCCAGTGCCATTAGTAGTGTCAGTGCTTTTTATTAGCCCTCATCACTGTATTGGTGTCACTGGGGATGTCAGCGACACTATGTCAGTTCCCCCAGTGTCAGAATTCCGGCCGCAGTCCTGCTAAAAGTTGCTGATTGCCACCATTACTAGTCAAAAGAAAAAAAAAAATTCCAGTATATATGCCGCCATTTGTAAACGCTATAACTTTCACGTAAACCAATTAATTTACATGTATTGAATTTGTTTTAGCAAAGACGTAGCAGAATACATTTTGGTCTAAATTTATGACGAAATTTGATTTTCTAATTTTTTTTACTGGACATGTTTAATAGCAGAAAGTAAAAAATATTGTTTTTTTCTTAAAATTGTCAGTTGTTGTTTATAGCGCAAAAAATGAAAACCGCAAAGGTGATCAAATACCACCGAAAGAAAGCTCTATTTGTGGGGAAAAAGAACGTAAATTTCATATGGGTGCAGTGTTGCATGACTGTCCAACTGTCAGTTAGAGTAACACAGCACCGTATTGTAAAAAATGGCCTGGTTAGGAAGGGGGGTAAATCCTCTGGAGGACAAGTGGTTAAATTGAAGAGCTCAACCCTATTATTTCCAAATGGAGATAGGGGAAGGAGGATTTAAAGTGTATGTTACCTCAACATTTCATGATTTTGATATCTGTCTGCATGACCATATACTTGTATTAAAAAGTATCCTGTTCTCTTTGCATTGCTTCCTTTATGTGAATACCTGGTGACCCTGCCAATCCCCCCACTTTCCTATTTCAAGCTGACCATGGCAGGCATGAAAGCAAATCCCAGCATGGTCAGTTTGCTTCTTTTTATTCTTCTTGCCTGCCTGTAGAGTCTGCCTGTACTCCAGTAGTAAGACTTGTGCTGGCATGCCCCCTGCACAGCACTGGACACCAATGATTGTGGGATTGTTCTGGGACATCTTAAAGTGCCACTGACCACCAATGAATGTATGTAGAATTGTTTTAAAGGTATTTTGGATTTGTCCATGACATCTATCCATGCACACAATGCACGCTCAATGCAATGCAATCCTCCAGGGAACGTTCTTCTATGAATAATGGAACAGTTAATTTTAAATATCAGTAAAATAAAGCTCTATTTAATAACAAAAAGGTATCAAATATATTTGGCAACAGTCTTGCATGGAAAGGAAGGGGGTGTAACATGCTGATATTGAGGTGGTTAAACAAAAGTGGGCAGAAAAGCCCTGAAACGTAAGTTTGCTGTGGACTGCATACTTCAAAGCACTATATTTGAAGCTAAGTCTCACACTTCCTTAATCTACCATTATTTAGTAAAATTATCTTGTTAGCAAAAGCAAGTGAAATATTAGGTAGGTAAAGAATTGTAAATATTTTCAAGGAAGAAAATGAGGCCCTACACCAAATGACAGCAATCATGACTTGCTAGGTGGTCAGCAGGTACCCAGGATAGATAAAAATGACTGCTTCTAAACTGGTACAATTCCTGCCATTTGGTAGCTATCAAAAGTCCCTAAAATCTGTATAGCAAGTTTTCATTAATCACCAAGACAAGATTGGAGAAGCAGTGGTTATTCTTATCTGCACTGTGTGAAGAAGGGCCCTGGTGATCTATGAAACAAGAACCAATGCATTAGTGGAAGCTGTTGTTTGCAACTTTATTTTAATGGTGTAATCTATAAGGCTGTTGTGTTCATTCATACTTTACAACCTTGTGAGTTAATGACTCTGAAAAACTATACAGGTCAGAATCCCCACTCATAATTGATGCATACTTGTTACATTGCCTCCCTACATGTGTAGTGCACAGAGTAAGAAAATTACAGCCCCGGAGCCTGTGCCTGTAAAAGAAAATCAGGCCAGTAATAGTAGCTGCCATGTCTCTTCCTTCATTGGCACCCTTTAACATTCACAACAGAGTGGAAACAACAAAAGCCATTGGCTGCTTGAAGCTGCCAAGCTTTGATAGAGAATAGCACTCATAACTGAATTTTTTAGGCTAGGTAGAATTATTCATTAAGAATCAATTAAGTGGAATCATCAAATACACTACTCACAGCAGAAACTTGTGGCCATAGGGGTTCTGACAATCAATTAGCTAAGCAGGCATATGTTACATTAATAGAGGATTTGCTCGTGGGTCACTGTTAATGAAAGGTCAGTTATAATGAGGGTGGTTGGAAAATGGGAATCTCATATAAAGCATTTAGACATCACTTTACTCAGCTGGATCAAAATGAAGAGCAAGATATAAAAAATTCATACAATAGGCTATGTTGAAGTTAGAAGAAAACGTACAAAGTGGTTGCAATCTAAATACTCATGGTAAAATAATATGCTGGTATTTATTTGTATTGCAATTTCATCTTATTTGTTTTCAATATTTATTTCATAAATAATTTTGTAATACATGAACTACGGTTATAGCCATATACTTCCTGCATGTTTAGACCAAGTCTTGTGAAATAAAATGAAAATAAATTAAAAATGAAATAAATCATTCAGTAAAGTAGGGCAAAGAGTAGCCAAGAGATCACTTTTGACTGTTGCTATGTGTTATTGCGCACTTTGTACATTACAGTTGCTCATTATATGCCCTTACTATAAAAACCCAATACTATTCAGTGGACGGCAAACTGAAACTGTCAACATTTTAGAAAAGTAGTGGCATTATACAACAAAAGGTTCTCATTTTTAAGTGCCATAACCAATAGCAGGCAATAGTAATTTACCCTGCTAATACCATATCACAACCAGATGGATTCTTATTGGTTGGTATTAAGTTACTGCACTTAATACAAACATTTTATTGAAAAAGTCCATAAACCCGCTGAGAATGAGATTTAAACAATGGGATAAAATATATGCCATGTCATGTAGACATACTGTATGACAGGAAAATTATACACTTAAATGTTTTTAACTTAAATGTGCAAAACAGCAAATTTGTCCATATCATACTACAACAGAATTCATTGCCTCTATCCATTCCTTTCACTTGGTTTAAAAGACATCATCCCACCAGGGAATTTTTCTCCTCCTATAAAAAGACAAAAAAATGTTTCACAGCAAGTGGTGCTTTTAACTATCACAGTCAGTCCTACATTCAGATAATGCTTTGGTTTGCTGGAAGGTAAAATTGCTCTGCAAGTGCTTCTGTGACTAAGGAGGAAAGCTCTATTACAGCCATAGAGAGCAACACTTGAGACATGGCCCCACTCTTTCATTTCTTGCCATGGCCTTCATTGCTTCTCTTTGCTGATAATGTTTCACCTGTGTTTCTGTTTTGTCTGTTCTCTTCCTTCATTTCTTCTTGAGAGATTTGTTGCACTGCTTGAAGAATAACAGTTTCTACAATCTGTTTACTGGCATTTTGCAGCTTTACTTCTTCTGGATCTTTCCCAAGATTCTCTCCTAGGGCATAAATTCTGACAATGTAACAGGTGCAAAAAATAAATGGATATATTTTTTTTCTGCATTTTTCCACTTTCAATTATCTGTTTTCAGAAAACTGAAATTAGATTTCTGCTCCTATATGAGTTTACTTACTGCAATATACTGTTGTGCTTTTCATTTTTTAATTGAATAAGCCAGATCATTTTCCTGCTATGGTCTGGATTCCTCAAGCTTCAACATTACCACCTTATGACTGATATGTGTACATGTTAAAGGTAGGCTTGTCTTGAGTGGAGTGTATACCTGCTGCAGTGTTGTCAACTGTCAGTATTTTTACCGACAGCGGGTAAAAAAAAACAAGCACATTTCTTCTGCGAGTAAATGCCTGCGAAAGGAAAAGGCTGTCAGGTAAAAATATGGCTGTGATGCTCAGCTCAGAACTGACCAAGACCATCCACGTGCCTGCTACAGCGTGTTTGGGCAGTTCTGGCGGGGAGCGGGTCTAGCAGAGGTGGTGCCTGAGCATGTTGTGTGATGTCATGGTGCAAGGGAGCCGAGCAGCCGGAGTCTGTGCGAGGTCTGTCAGTGCTGTTTGGACTGAATGGACCACCCGGCATGGAGAGAGCCCGTCCCTGTGACTCAGGAGGGGACATGTCATGTCGGTGAGGTGTCATTATCATCCGTACTGCTGCACACTGCTGTCAGTATCACTGTGAGAGTCAATTTCATGTGTGTGCCTGCCCATTCTAATTTCTTGCCCTCCAGAGTCCTGTCCCTGAGGTACTTACCTACTATATCAAAAATAAAATAATATGTTTTTCGCCTTAATATCAAGCTTAAATCACATTGCTAATTGTATATTGTACTTGTTTGCACTTAAAACTGTAATTTTTTAACTTTTGGAAATGCCAGTAAAATTTGGGTGTCATGTCAGTGAATTTCAGTCTGATAGGTTGGCAACACTGACCCGCTGTATTGTGCTGATCCTTCACTGTCAACACATCTGTTAGAGGAGTATATCAAAATTTTGTAAATAAAAAAAATATCCAGTAAAACTTGTCATTTATTTTGCATGAAAGTGCTGCTATGTGACATTTTAGCAAATAGAAACTGATGGAGCTGCAACATATCAAAATAGAATGTGTACAGCTCTCACCCCTTGAGTGCAGGTCCATGTGCTTATACTTACCTTTAGCACTGTTTTGTTTTTCTTACTGCCAACATGGATGCTCTTTATTCTATGCTGAGGCCCTATTTATTTTATGGGTAGCTGTACTCATGAAGACTTCCAGAGGTCATCCAGAATATAGCTCTACTCATAGGAATAAAAGGATTGTGAAGCACAGGTGAAAAATGAGGAGCCAGGTGGGTCAACAACACTGAAATTGTATAAAAATTAAAATGCTTCTTCTAAATGGGCAGTCACTGCTGAGAAAGAGCTGAAACCACAGGGAAGATATCTGCATTTGTCACAGTACCACCTAAAATAGATATCTGAAGAAACAAATTTACCCTCAACAGGTTACATCTGCAAACACTTTACATGCTGGATCACCAGATATAAATACAGCTTTATTAGAATGTTTAACTTTTGAATAATTTTAATTAGTTTATAATCCTATCATGCATATATTTATTATTCTTAGAAATGTGCAAAAGTGCTACACTTAGCAAAGTTGGCCATAGATCGACTGTTGTTTTTGTGTGTTATTGATTGTTATTTTACTGATAGCTTTCTGTTCTTGTATTAACTTAGCCCTTTTGATACTGTTTTGTGTTTGCCTTTGGATCCTCACCTATGCATCTGTACATGTAAAAGTATATCCATTCAGCTACTCTGGTAATGACTCAGTTTGTCCCCTGGCCCCTAACCTGTCTGCTGCCTGCCCTAAGCTTCTGCTTCTGTATTCCTGATTGGCTCTCATCATGACTTTGAACACTAATGGACATTATGCTTTTTTTGGATAAAAAAATTTTTTATTGAAAATTTGTGTGTGTGTTCCAGAATTCAAGGTTTTCTTGTTAATGAAAAACTGACGGCTATACTGGAAGACAAACATGATAAATTTCTCTCTATCTGCCAACCCTGGTTGGACTACCAACCGGTATTCCACTTTACAACACAACTACTTCACCTTTGACCCTTGCATGTCTGAACCCTCTCTTCCTATTGAAATTTATTTCTCCCTTTCCTACCACCTTTGAGGGTAGAAGGGTGACTGCTATCACCCCACGGCAAATCCCCCCTCCTCTTTTATTTCTCCCTTCCCTTTCTTCTTTTTTCTCACTCTCTCTGTGCTGTTATTTGGTAAGATTCATAATAGAGCCCCCCGTACTTCACACTCCAGGGGCCTCTATCTTTTTTTTAGGAGTTTAAGCTAATTACTGGGACTATATAAAATGTTAAAACATTTAAAACATCTCTTTTTGAGCTGTTCCAACCCCGCACTCACATTTCCATATTTACAATGTTTAAGTCCCACTTCTTCATATTGTTACTACCATTTGCTGGTGTACATCATGGGGGTCAGTACAGAGGGATAAGTCAGAATTGGTTGGGGGGCCATCCATGAGACTGAAAGTCAACCAGCCGAAATTTCATGGACTGGCAAAGGTCCCTGAGGTTTCTATTAATAAAGTGTAGAGCGAAGTCAGGATTTCCTAAAAGAGGCATCATGGGTGAGGTCATTGGGAAGAGGCCTGTGGAGTAGAATACCGAATGAGCTACTCGGATCGAGGTTCCGACTGTTGGGTGGGTCTGTACCTTGACTGGAAGCCAAGAAGTTAGCCAAGGTATGCCCCGAAGAGAAATGATAGTGTCCTTGCCCTTCACTGCCACCCACTGTTTCATGTCCTTATTACAGTGTCAGTCCACAATTCTCGTGAGGTGAAAGGCCTGATAATAACATGCTATATCTGGGAGGCCTAAACCCCCTCTACCTAGAGCCAGAAAATGGCAGCTTGGAATTTTAACCTAAATGGCTTGTGGGACCATAGAAATTCCCAAAACAAGGAGTGGATGTGTTTAAAGAAAAGAAGGGGAATGTTCACAGGTAAGGCCTGAAACAGATAGAGAATCTGTGGGAGTATAGTCATTTTCAGGGTGTTGCAGTTCCCAAACCACGTTAACGTCAGCGCATACCATAGTTTCAGGTCTCGAGTAATGTTTTGAAGTAGGGGGACAAGATTCACCTGATAAAGATCCACAAGGTCATTGGTAATCTCAGTACCCAAGTATGTGATTGATCGTTCTGCCCAGTGGAAAGAGAAATGATTACAGAGAGGTTGAAGGTCCTGGAGTGGGATTATGACGTTAAGTGCCACTGATTTAGCAAAGTTTATTTTGAACTTTGAAAGCCCCCATATATATGAAATTCCCTCAGAATATTAGGTAGGCTCATACTCGGGCGAGTGACAAAGAAAATCAAATCATCTGTGAAAGCAGCAAGTTTGTAATGCCCTGAAGGTTTGACGTAGCCAACAATATTGGGATTACTCCTGACCGAGCAGAGAAAGGGCTCCAAGGTAAGAATGAAAATTATTGGAGATAGTGGACAGCCCTGTCTCGTACCATTGGTAATCTTAAAGTACTCCAATCGAGTCTCATTTACTCTTACTGACGTTGAAGCAGGGGCAGACTGACCATTTGGAAACTCGGGCACTGCCTGTGGGCCCGGGGTCAGTAGGGGGCCCCATGAGATGGTACCGCTGGTACCTTTTTCATAGGCTTTTTTGAGTTTGGGCAAGGACACAGGGGCACCATGATCCCCTATTGCCCGGGTCCCCATGAGTTGTCAGTCCGCCCCTGATTCTAACCAATTTGCCTGAGCAACTTCTTAGTTCTCTGAGCTCCTGTCTGTTGCTACTCCTGTATTCTGAATCTGATTACTTGTGTACTGACCCCAGCTTCGTCCACTGACTGTGCGTGATTTCCACTCGTCCTGACCTCAGCTTATCTACCGGCTTCCCTGTTGTCTCCTGCCATTACACTCTGCTAATGCGAGTGGTCTCTGCATCCTCGGCTGCGCATACCTGGGGGCTGCGACCTGGTTCTAGTTTGCTGTAAGTCCATCCCCACCATCAGGGGCTCTGAAGAACAAGCAGGCTGGGACATAGACTCTGCTCTCTGGGGAACCCTGAGTTGGTGGTCTACAAGGGCTCACTACCACAGGTTCGTGACAGTCTTTTTTTAGAGTTCAGAAGAGTTGAGTCTTTGTGGGTGATTTAAAGAGACTTTAGTAGTCTCTTCTAGGATAATGAACCAATGGTCCTTCTTAATAATGATAGTATCTTTAGTACATAACTGCATAAGTGGTTGATCATCCTAAGAAAAATGATGTCCAAATAAACAGCCTTGATACCCTTAAGCTGGCCATATATTATATAATTTTCTTGTTTCATTTCCTTTAGATTTATCTTTAACTGTGTAGTACAAGGGCCTGTCTGACTGCATACAAATTGAAAGTGTTTAGGTTTGACCTCATATTATATGGTTTTGGTCAGGGGCGGACTGACAATTCATGGGGCCCCGGGCAATAGGGGATCATGGGGCCCCTGTGTCCTTGCCCAAACTCAAAAAAGCCTATGAAAAAGGTACCAGGGGCATCTCATGGGGCCCCCTATTGACCCCGGGCCCTCGGGCAGTGCCCGAGTTTCCAAATGGTCAGTCCGCCCCTGATTTTGGTAAATCTAAAGTAAATTGAACAAAAAAAGAAAACTGCATAATGTATGGCCAGCTTTAGTACTTGGTTACAAGGGAATTGTACATGCAAAGCATGTCTTATTTGTATGTGTCTGTAATAATATGAAGTAAGGAGTTTAAATTCAGGTCGTAGTAAAGAAAATGACTTCATGTAACTAAGGTAGTTTAAGAGTGCCATATGGTTGCCAGGTGGATCATCCATCTGACTGAGGAAAGTTTTGAGAGATCTGGATTGTCCCAGAGAGAAGTAAAAGTAGTAAACTGTCCCTCAGACTGAATGCTTTACAGGTTTGTTGGATTTTCCAAGGTAAACAGGCTGTGGGATAAAG